GATCTCGCATTTCCAAATTATCAACAGTTGATGTCTGTTTTCAATTAATGACTTAAAAACGTTTAGATAACAACTTTTGTCTGTTTTTTCTTGGGTGTATCCATCTGATTTGGTTCATCTCCTTTATCTTGCATTCAGCTATTGCGATTGTCTGTATCCATTTCACTGCATTTTTTTTATCTATTTTGATTCAAGATCATTAATTAACTGAATCAAGTCAAACCTACTTTTGCTACATATTTGGAATTATCATTTGATTTGGAAGTTCAGTTATTGAGTTTAATGAGAGGTCAAGGTTCTGGGCTTGCTCATTATTCTCTTCGGACATTTGTGAGTTCTCTTGGGAAAATTCAATGGAACTTAAAAATTCAACTGGTGTGGATGATTTTGGTTGGGATGAAATGATTTTTTTTTCAATGGATTAACAGGGTTGCCACACAAGTGTCAATCCAGGTATAAACATTGCGACCTGGAATATTAATTGTATCAGTACTTACATATAATGTTACTGAGTTACTGACAGTTTTGTATATATTTCCATACTGAAAATGACTTCTTATAAGGTTTATATCATCATCCAAGATGTTCTGTACATTTGTACATCTTGTAATATATGATGTGCGACATGAACAGTTCTTTGGAGATATTTGTAAAAAGTCTGCCACATTTTCAGCTAATGAATCCAGTGAAACACTTTCATTTTCTGAATTTAGTTCACTTGATATTTCTATTTAAAAGTATAGTTGAATTGAGAAAATGAAAACGGTGATTTCACAGCAGTAAAACTGTTTAGTAAAGACATGGTGATTAGACATTATCATCATTCTCACCAAGTAATATCTGTGCATCAATAAAATGTAATAAGTAAGTCAGTTTAATGGGAGATATTGTTTTAATATTTCAAACTTAGTGAAAACTCGCACTATCCTAGTATTTGCAGTGAGGTGATAATTAAATGCATCACAATGATGAAAACAGACTTGCGGAGCTCAGCTAACATGTGATTTTTGTTTTTATTATATTTTTTTTTTGGGGGGGGGGGGGGGGGGTTAGAATAAAAAAAAAGGGCAGGATTTACTAATAAAAAAAAGCAGGATCAAAAAAAGGCACGACAGAGACTACAAGTAAAAAAGATGCAGGACAAAATATTTTATCCAAGCGACCCACCTCCCCAACCATAAAATAAAATGGTAGCTCCCTTGCACAACTTTCATTATAAATAAACAAACATCTATTCTTTGCTGATATTCGGAAGAAGCATTTCAATGTCAATAATATGTATGATTTATTTAATAATATTCCATTTACAAATATTGTTTCATTCTTTAAAGAAATTGGAATATATTATAAAATATAAAAATGTTGTTATATTTAAAACGATTTTAATTTTTATCACGTTATCTTAGTGTTGATTTTTATTTGTAAATAATCAATTTGCTTTAGTCTAGAATTTTAGTTTATTGAAAGACCTTTTGTCTGATTTTAAAAATATACCTTAAATTGTTATAATATTCGAATTAGCTCTCGCCGCGATATAGCCTTTCTGTGCTAATGCGGCGTAAAGCAAACAACAATCAATCAATCAATCTATCAAACATATTTTTTGCGAGAAATGAAAAAAAAAAGATTATGTATTAACTTAAATACCTCTCTTCAATTTCTGGTGTGTCCTGTGGCAATGCTTGGGAACAAAAGTCAAAAATTGTCGGCACTGCGTCTGATTTTAATTGCAACTTTTGCATTTTATATCTTATTGATGCTGCAAATAACGGATTTACTTCAAACTGGTCATGGCTAAAATGTCCAACGAAATTGTTTTTTTACTGTATGCAAGCTTCAACTTTTTTCTAATTGTCAGTTACCAACTAAATGAGATGTCTCGTCTCCCTTTCTCCCCACTCATGCCTGGCATTACCTGCAGCACCCACTGTTTGAGCGATACCTTCGTCTGAACATTCGTTATCTGATTCGACCCGTTTTCTTGCCTGAAAAGATATTCTTATATATGGCTGTACTGTAGGCTTTACAGTGTTGTCAATATGAATTTTCACTTGTGTATCTTTAAGTTTTCCTTGTCCATTAATAATATCTTTGTTTTGTTCACACATTTGTTCCCTGTTGTTCAAGGTAAATAGTCGTCCATCAGTTTTATTGGCCCTTTGATACAAAAATGAAGGACAACACTTGCTATACCGTTTACTATTGTCCATCATATTCGGATCATTTTGATTTGTATGCGTTAATCTTCATTCAGACAGATGAATACATAATCTAGTAGTTTTTAATTTAAACTCATTTATATATACAGACACTGAACTCCCACCATCTGATGATCGTCAAAAGTCGCTGTATGATTTTTTGTTCGATGGTGATGAACAAATGGTTGAAGATGGTCTGTTCACAATACTAAACTAGTCTACTTGAAACCGGTGTGGTGCTCAGTGTAGAAATGTAACTTGCTGAGGTTGTTAGGTGTTGAGAAAAAGAAAATGATTGTGCAAGCCTACAAGCTCAGGCTAACAACTTAAAAAAAAGGAAACTTATCATGGGATTTAACCCCTTATTCGTCTTCTTTGTTATAATAGGTATTTTTTTATTGAAACACTCTTGATACACTGCTCTATGTGAATAGTTTAATTAAGATTTCGCGTGTGTTCTAGTAGCTTCTTATAACAGGATCATTGATATATTCTTTCAGCGTCCTATTCATAGAAGTCATTTTCTTTTTCTCACTCCGTATGCCTTACTGATTTCTTCTTTTGAGTATAATTCAAACTACTTGAAGCGAAAAACCTAGAGATTCTTGCAATTTTGCCAGCAGGCTACGGCAAGAGTCTGATTTATCAATTAGCACCGTTGATCCTGGATGGCACTGTGGTTGTGTTCTCTCCACTCAGGAAGAACAAATCCAGAAATTAAGGACATCTGGATTAAGGTGTTGCATTCTTAATACCAGGGTAAATTATTAAAAATGTTATCTGTATGAACAAATTCAAATGTGGTCAGTTCTTTATTTCCAATTTTTCCCTACCCAACAAAATCAGTTGCCAGTGGCAGTTGGTGTCTAATCATATGATATTATGAATTAACAACAGGCGTTAGTTTCCATTTGCCAATTTATATATCCATACCATTACGAATCCCTTAAAAATCACCAGCAAATATTTACAAACTCCTGTAATACATGTAGAACCCTTTGTAACGTTAGAACCAGAGGGACAGCTGCCTCTCTTATCCTCTGTTTGTCGGGGTTGTTCCTAAACCTGATAAAAGTTCCTGATACCAAACATATTTTTATAGTGTAAAAAGTGCTCTTTACAGATCTACATGATCTTGTAATACAGACTTATATGTAAAGTTTAAAACAAAGTATAAATGATAGAAAAGCAAAATCATGTACTATATACATGTAGCATAAATTTAAATGCACATGTACAGACACATCAAAGCCATATTAAATTACATGCAGAGCTTTATTTCTATTAAATATGACAGAAGGTCACCAGTTTGGTTAACAAATTTTCTAAAAACTATAAATATATATATTGGCACTTATATTTATAATCCTTTTTACTTTAATAAATTTTTACTTGGATGAAGAGTTGTCTCATTTTATACATGCAAATACTGTGGCATATTATTTGCTTTATTTAACTCATCCATTGAACTTTATCCTTAATGTATTCGTAATTTACTGATCGATGCACTTAACAACTTGACAATATTTTTCAAAAGGTAATGGAAAATAAATTTGTCGTTTACGGTATGAAGAGTCCAATTATACGGTTTCTACAATAAATGCAAAGTATTGTACGAAATTTATAACTGAGTTAGTAAAGTGATGCATTTGAAATATTATTTTTATGAATTGAGTTAATAATGAATTGTATAGGGAAGTTCGTCCGAATCGAAAGTGACGTCACATTGCGCATGCGTATAAAATTGGTGGGCAAGACCCATTCATAAAAATAATGGCCGATAAAACAAACACTTCATCGAGTTCTCTCAACAATTTATCAACATATGCAAATTCCCTGTCAGTTGAAGCAAAGCAGAGATATTCCACAAAGTTATTGTACAACACGGGAACTAAAAGTTTGCCAGATCCGTACGCAATTGCTGAAAAATGGAGTTCTGACCCTAGCACCTTGCCCGACCTAACCTTTGGTGATATTTACCTTTACCTGATTGACACGCCTTCCATTTACACCAAGGAGTCAATGAAAGCATACAAATCGTAAGATGCATACAAGTAAGTGTTAAAATATGTATTTGAATTATTATTTCGATTTTAAAACAAGTTTTACATGAAGAAAGAGCTTGAATTTTTTTTTTTCGTAATCTCACCTTCTCAGGTAATCGGGTTGTTTATGTCACGTGGTTAATGCCATATTAGGTCATCTTACCTGATCACAGGTAAACGTATATTCCTACTGTGACAATGTCATTCACTGTATTTACAACTGTGTCATCTATTTTGAACTTATGTCCCTGTGCATATGTAGTGTCATTAAATAAATGCACATAATACCCTTTATTTTTGATACACTAAATTTACCATGAATTTTACAATTCTATATTGATTGATAATTTAATTTTGTAGTGATTTATCTATAATTGTAGTGTTTGACTTATTTTGATATATTTGAACTAGAATACATAAAAATAAAACATTTAAAAAATATCTATAAAATTTTTAAAAAAATTAAAAGATGGTTTAAAAAGGTTTATGTATAAAGCATAGTCATTGTACTGAAGGCTAAGTCACTTTGTCACCTGAAGATATCGTGAATAATTTTATACATATACATTTGTAAGTATCATACATGCACAATAATGGTTTACTTTTATAAATTTTTACTTGGATGAAGAGTTGTCTCATTGGCACTCATACCACATCTTCTTATATCTATGTCCATAACCATAATAACTAAATGTTCTTTTTGCTTTATGTTCCTTATACTGATTTGTTCCCTTTTTCAGTTACGTCATCAGTGGACATGTACAAGTCGTGTTTTCTCACCCAGTGGACAACGACTGTCCATTCATGGTCCTCAAGGCAAAGGTCACACCGTCACAGAGAGCTAGAGATAAACCACATGGACCATGGGTGTATTTGGAAAAGAGCAGTGGGACAGTATAATGTGCTCACTGTACCTGTATGGCAGGGTATGTATACTGTTCAATGACTCAATTGTGACCCAGAGTTCTATTGTTCTTACAAATATATATATGTAATGTGTTTTATGTATTGATATGAAATATAAGGAGATGTGGTACAATTGCCAATGAGACAATTCTATCCAGCAGAGTTCAATTGAATTGGATGTAAGCAGATATAGCCAATCATACAGGCTTCAAAAAATGAGACAAACCCTTATCGCATGGTCGGCTATAAAAGGCCCTACCATGAAATATATGAAACAATTCAATTGATGTATTATATTTGGTTTCATTAGCACAGATACATTTTTCAAAATGTCAAATAACAAAAAATTCTTCATTTACAGGTTAGGGGAAGTATGCAGTCATGTTGGGGCACTACTGTTCAAGGTGGAGATGGCTGTTAAAATTGGAATTACACAAACAAGTTCAACCAGTAAAGCTTGTCAGTGGAATAACAGATTTAGAAAAGAGGTATATTTTTACACTTTTATTCAGGTATAAAGTTTTACCTGAATTGGTTAATTTTTACAATATGACTCAGGAATAAAAAGTGCATTTAGTGTTATCCTGTCTGCAAATTTATCAGTATATTAAAAGGATAATAAAAAAAAAATCAAAGATATATGTAAAGTAGGAGACAAATCAATATTTTATATTAGCTAAAAAAAAAATATTCACTATGTCTGTAATTTGAAATTTGAGATTGACAAAATACAAAAGAATTGCTAATAACACCTGCTAACCACAGATTTAGATGACATGTAAGCAAAATAATTAATTTTGTATGTTACTATTAAATGTGTATAGATATATATAATATATTCAACACCAGTTTAACTAATTGAATTATTTTTATTGTCAGGTTACTCCAACTACTGTCACTGACATTTTCCAGCATATAAAGGGTAGACGTTCAAAAGATATCGCAAGTGTCCCAAGCCAACGGTGCAGCACCTCTCCCTCCCACGGAAGTCCTAAAGGAACTGTATGCTATTGCACCTAATGCTGCCTTTTTTACCTCAGTTATGACACCAAGTATAGATAATCCACCTGCCTCAAAAACAACTGAAAGCAAGTACCCTCCACTGCTGTCAACACTTCAACAGACCGATAACAATGACCTTTGTGATAAAACCATAGATTCATATACTGTTTCACAATACCAGGCAGAAAATTTAGAGGTAGCAACTAGAAATCAAGCCATCAGTTCCTTATGGTATCAACATAGAATGGGTAGAATCACGGCATCCAAAGCTCATGATGTGCTAGTTCGTAAAGCAACAACTCCTGCAGCCAACCTCGTCAAAAGGATAGCCGGTTATTCCACATATGACCTTTCAAAAAAACAGTCAGTAAAATGCGGCGTAGACCATGAAGATGAATGAAGACAGGCATACACAAATCACCAACAGAACCACCACCTAGACCTAACATGTTCTCCGCGTGGTTTCTTTATATACACAAGTCACCCATTCCTAGGAGTCAGCCCTGATGGCATTGTGAATTGCAAGTGCTGTGGCAGAGGTACAATAGAGGTAAAGTGTCCTTTAAACACAAAGATGTAACTGTACCACAAGCTGCAAAAAGTGACAAAAACTTCTGTCTCGACTCAAATTTAACCCTGAAGACCAGTCACAGATATTTTACGCAAGTCCAGATGCAGATGTTCATCACCAACTGCCAGTATTGTGACTTTGTTTTATATACCAAATGTCAGCCTGAAGCAAGCATGGTAATAGTGCGAGTCCCAATTGATCTAGACTTCTGCCACAAGTTGATACACAAGTGTGAGAACTTTTTAAAATCATTTGTTATACGTGAACTTCTCACCAGAGAACTTGAAAATGAGCCAACAACAAACAACGATGACAGGGTCGACAACAACAACAATGCTAATGAGAAATCATGGTGTATTTGTTCCGAACCAGAGTATGGTCAAATGATAAGGTGTGATGGTGACCAATGTCCTTATAAATGGTTCCACTACAAATGTGTAAACATTCGACGTAAACCAAGAGGAAGGTGGTTTTGTGCTAGCTGTTAAGTATAGACATTCAAACAATACCAGTTGAATTACTTTATTAATACATAGACATTGCAAAAAATTTTCAACCAACATCTTGTATTTATGCAATATATATATATGTATTAATAAAAATAGACATACATGTACGTTACAATTAAAAATTGCATTATCAATAGCTGGAATGCACACTACTTAATGTAAGAATGATTGAAAAATGAAAACTTAACAACATATTTATCTATAATAAAGAAAATTTGGAAAAAAATTTGCTCAAACTTCTTGAATTTAAAAAGAATAGTTGTATATATTATTTTATCTGTTAATATACATGTACATTTTCATATATATATTTTGTAACTGGCTTTTTCGTTCATGTGGAATAAGCAGAAGTTCTTGTTAATGCATCATTAATGAAAACTATTCTGCTCATGTTTGAAAACCATAGACTTGTACATTGTATGACATAAATTATTTTGTAATACATCATTGTGTGAAATAAATTATTTTGAAACACATTTTTATATTCGCTACAGACTGTTGAATATGCAATAAGAAACTTTCTATTATCAAATAACTATATATACAAGTCTTTAAAAGAGTTTTTTAAGACACAAGTTTTGGTTGGAGATTACAAATTGCTGAACAAATGCTAACAATGCTATCGGAATGAGGAACCATACACATACTCATGTTTGAACTAAGAATGTTAAAGTTTTTTAATCTCTGGATTGCTCTCTCAACATGGATTCTGACATGCGCTATTTTACGGGTCTGTTCTACTTCCTTGGCACTTAGTTGTTTTTTTCCTCTTGTAAATGCTGGTATAACTAGTGTTGCACTTTTGTTGGCAAGTTCTTCTGATATCAAAAACCCACGATCAGCCAACACCTGATCTGCATGTTGAATTTTGTCCAAATAACCACTGCGTTGCGTAATAACCTTGTCGGATGTCCTACCACCAAATGCCTTTGATACAAATGAAATAGCTCCTGTTGGTGTTATTGACACTAAAAATGTAATGGTGTTGTTGTGCTTGTAGTTGGACCAGGTCTGAGCTCTAGCAGTTAATTGGCCTGGTCGCTGAATAAAAACTTCAAAACAGTCTATAATACTGGAGCACCTTCGGTAAGATTTTTTTAAAAAAGATGGCATGTTACTTAATAGATATTCCTTATCAGGCCATTGAATCAGAAAGGACAGTTTGCTGGCTAATTTTGGAAGTCCTAGTTTGAGAATGTCTGATATTGTTGTTTTGGAGACACCGAAGCGATAGGCAAGATCTTCATGTTGAAGGTTAAGTCTCAACTTCATTAATAGGCATAGCAGAACACTTGTTGGTGACATTACTTTACATGATGGCAATATACAGGAACAAAATGACAACAACCACATAAATAGAGCTTTAGAATGCACTCCGGTGTAAAACTGTATTTTACGATCACTGGCAGTAACAAGGTTTTCAAAATTTAGCTGACTGATGTTTGCCTTCAAGGTGGTGTTTTCTGTTTGAAGGCGACCTTATTCAGCATACAGTTGTTCATGTTGATGCAAGCATCGTGTTGGTTGTTATCTGACTGCACTGAAAATAAAGAGAAAATTTATTAATGTGAAAAAAAAATGTTTTTATATTATACAATAGCTGTTAAACAGCCTTCAATAAATAAAACTTAGTAAAATGTTTAAGCATCCATTACCATTACATTTCTTTACATCATTTTATTAAAGAAAAAATATCCTGCTGTCACTTCAGATATTGATGAAATCTTTGAATCATGAGCATGATGAGATGCTTAATGTGTATTTACAACATTGTTTTGTTTGTAGATACATGTATCATCTATAGCTAAAGTTAACCTTGACCTCTCCTTGATTAAAGTGATAAGACTAATTAGTTATTGTTTTCAAAGATTAATTACATGTTCAATTATTTCTGATTAAAGAAACTGCTATTCAAACACTCCACTGAAATTAAGTGTTCTATATCTCACTAATTAGGACTTGTGTTGTTAAGTACAGTATGAGTAATAGATAATTGAAATGTATAATTCATTGAAGAACCTGAGTTTAATATTCTCTAAATTCTCAATAAGTAAAATAAACTACTGAACAATTAGCAACAGTATTTAAAAATTTACATGTTCATTCTAGGAAATAAAAAGTGTCAATGTAAGTAAGTTATCTCCTTGACAATCATACTACATCTTTTTATATATATTATTACACTAATGATTTATGCATATTTAATACCTGATTCAGGTTCTGGGATATTCTCTGCATTACCCCATGTCAACTGATGGCACATAGTCTGGGTTGTTCTCGTCATTACTTTTCACACCTGAATTTTACATATGATTTATAATTCAATTTACACCAAAGTTGTTTTGCTATTTTAAAAACATTTGAAAGTTGTACAACTGGTTGACCGAAGAACATTACTTCACTATATGACCGACACAGTCATAGATAAGTATCACATATATGTATCATAGGCTACATGTATGGGGTACTTGTATGATGTACATTGTATGTCATCATTTGATTGAAGAAAAAAAAAACAATTACAGGAAGACACAAAGTTAAAAAATACCAAGGTTAAGTACGGAAATAGCTGAGATTAATATCTATAATCATGAAAATATATTTAAAAAACTTCCTTGACCTTGTCTGATTATCTTACACTAAGTTACAGAAAAATGATCCAATGACCACTCCCCTTTTTCATTTCTGTGTGTTGAAAAGCATTAACTCCGGTTGACATGCTTTGATAAGTAGAAACATACTTTCGAAAGACAACAAACATTAGAAAAAATATGAATTTGTAGTTAAAATAATGACTTACCAGATATGAAATGTCGAAAACAAACACGGCCATTTTCCCTTGGTTCCAACTGATCTCGTCTGATTACTGAAATCCAGAGCTTTTTGCGCGACTCTGGCTTCTTTGGGATACGGTAAAAGCTTTTGGGATTGTCCTTGTCAAATCTGTTGGTACACCCGATAACACAACATGAAGCTACCGTGGCTAATTAACGGTAAACATCGATTGACTTGCGATTTTCAATCATTCATTTAATGTGCCCACCAGTAAGTCACGTGATCAATCCGTGACGTCACGGCGAACTTCCCTATTGTATTACTACAACTGTTGTAAAAGATTAAGCACATTTTTTGTATGAATTATTTTTTTTCAACTGACAAATAAGGGGGAACAACTCATATAACTTTACTTTAGTATGCTAAAAAGGAGATGACTTTTGTTTCCTTTCATTTAAAACACAAAATTCAACCTCTGATGATAAATGAGATGTAATGCTAGGCACCCTTTTTAACTCAATACTATTTACATGATAATATGATTTTCTCTTTTTACTAAATGTACAATAAAACAAATAAAATTGATAAAGAAAACACAGAAAGACAAGCGATTACAATTATCCATTTCCTAGGACTTTCTGTTCCTTCGTTAGCTGTAAAAAAAATTTATCATACTAAGTTTAACTTATTATAAAAGCTTTATTTTGGAATGAATGCTATATGTTTTATTCTATTTCTTTTCTCCAACTTACATAAACTTTATTGATATGTAAATTAAATGATTTTCTTATTTCATTTAAATTCAAATCTTTAAAATTAACACTTACAATATAATCCATTGATGTGAGTGGTGTTTCCTTCTTCTTCAATTTCTTTCACTCCAAATGTAGTGCTTATTCCTAATTAAATAAAAAAGAATATTTGCTATCAAACACTAACATTTTTCTCTTTCTCTTGAAGTGTGGTTATGACATACAGGTATATTTTCTTTATTGTCTTTACTTAAATATATGAAAAATACACTTATCTTACCTAGTGAAATTTTTTCTGTGGATGTTACTTCTT